TCTGGTTGAGGGGTGCCACCGAATTCAAGACATGCGGCAAATCCCTTCTGTTTTTGGACCCTGACCCCGCCGATGTGCTTGAGGGGTGCCACCGAATTTAAAACATGCGGCAAATCCCTTTTGTTTTTGGACCCTGACCCCGCCGATCTGCGTGAGGGGTGCCAGGAAATGTTAGAAATGTGGCAAATCCCATGTGTTTTGGGACCCTGACCCCGCCGATCTGCGTGAGGGGTGTAAACTTTTACCCCCCCAGGAATTCTGAGAACCCTCCCGGGGGACGCTAACCAGTGCAGTTTTCGGCTTCCCCCCCTCGCGCGGACAGTAACAATTTACAGTAGGAAGCAGAAAGCAGTACAATAACAATGGAAACTGGAAACTGGAACTGGTGCAGGGAGCAGCAAGCTTAACCCTCGCAGCCTGATGGCCCCGCAAGGGGGCCGGCGGATTTTTCGTCCAAAGTTTGCTTGTAGGGGGACATGCCCGGCCTAGTGCTAGTGTCGTGGCGTTGGCCAGCCTCAGCGCGTTGCAGATCTCGTCGCCCAGAACGAGTGCAGTGACCTCTCGCAGGCAGCTTCTGGCTGCGAGTGGTGCGTCCCAGTGCCGTCCTGCGACTCACATCCATGTGTCAACCGCTGGTCGGGTGAGCTTCTCCCGAGCTCGACATATCTGCGATGGTGGGCCAAGTGCTCGGTCTCCTTCCGTCTTGGGCTGGAGCATGATGATGGTGTTGTGCAGTTGGCAAGGCCATGCGAGCTCTCGCTCGCAGCTGCTGAACAGGTTGACAAATTTCTGGCGTCCTGCCGTTGGCAGGCCTCGTAGGTCGGAACTGGTTATCTTGTCTGTGCCTCTGCCTTTGTCAGGCGAGCACCTGAGAGAGGAGTCCAGGTTTCCTATGGTCCAGGTCGTGGGTGACGCTGTCCTCGCGCACTCCCAAATGTCCTGGATGAGGGTCTGGCAGTCGCTGTGGGTGATGGCCGGTTGGGTCCAGAGCTCTGCGAACTCCTCCGTCTTGGCGTCGATCACTGACTTGGGGAAGCACGCTTTGCCTCTGATGTGGACGTATTCGTCTTCGCGTCGTGGTTGTGGTTTGGTAATTCAGTGGAGTTTGCCGACAGTTGCTTTGGGGGTATCCGACAGCCAGCGCGCGAACGAGTGTGACCTCATCTTCGTGTCGAAGGTGAGGGCCTTAGCGACGTCCTGCTCGGCTTGGTCCAGCATGCCCGCGATCGCGTCGATGTCGAGCGTGCCCAGCGCCTTGAGCCTGGACCCCCAAAGGTCACGATGTTGAGCTGCTGCTGGTGGCAGTCGAGCTCACGCTGTCGGTGTGCCTTCGTGAAGGAGCCGTCGTGCTTCTGATGCTAGCTGTCGTTGCTGTCGGTCTCCGTGTCTACGTCGCCGTATCGTATGGCATGTTCTTAGAATAGTTGTCAGCCCTCCCCGCCGGTCTGTTCGTTTGTAGCTGTAGTGGGTTCGTCTTGCCCGTGGTTTTGCGCACTTGGTCACCATTCTGCACGGCGCGTCCAATAAATTGTTGACGGTCCTGGGGCTGGATGTCATAGGCTGCGCCGTAGAATTTGTTCAGAGTGCCCGTGATCTGACCGCATTCTCGTCCCAGCGCAGAGGCTGCCCCCTGGGTCCGATACATATGCAGCTACACGTCGTATGTAGTCTGGCGGCTGATCGTGTTCTGGTTGTGGCTTCGCGATCATCGGGGAGACTTCTCAGAGATCGTCCACTGCGCGGGTGTCGAGCCGCTTGGCCTGCGCACCTGGGAGGGAGGACCGATGGAGTCCATGTGGTGCTCATGGGCTTGGCGGTCTGTGCGTTGAGGAAATCCACAATGTTTCCAGCGTCGGCGCATCTCCTCGTCAATGTTGATGTCGTTGCCTGGTGATCGCCACCTGGTGCTGGTGTGCTTGTTGGGCTTTTTGCTGCCGCCTTTTGCCGTCAGTATTAGGCGGCTTAGGAGGGGCGGGTGGGTGTGTAAAGTGTCCTGGTAGTTGGAGCTGTCTCATATTGATCGGCTTGGCTTCACTTCTGAGGCGCAATACCTGTTCTACGTGCGTCTTCCATGGCGTCGCAGCCGTGTCCAGACCAGGAAAGTACGTTTGGGCGTCATGGCTTATCACAGCGTAGCCGATGAGCGTGGCTGAGGTGGTGCCTTTCTTGCTGTTGTGCGTGAAGCAAGTGTAGCCGTCTAGGATTGCGGCGATGTATACTCCCATGGCGTCTGGCCATCCTGAAGCCCAAAGGCATTGAGAAGGCGCATTCCAGTCGCCCAGAACAATCCAAGGGTGCTGGCAGCGGGCCAGGGATGAGGCCAGCGTCGCAAGCCCCCCGGCATAGAGGCCGCCTGTCAGGCCCAGGTAGATGCTGACAACGATGATGCTGCGTCCGCGGGGGTGCCAGCACAACTACTTCGACCCAGTCGAAGTAGTTGTGCTCTGGGCTGCCAGTGGGGAGGGCCACGAGACCGGCCGTGGTCGCAGCGGCCGTGCCCTTGGCAGCTTTGTCGCAGTAGCATTCGCCCTGGTGGTAAGAGATGGCGCCAACACAGGCTCCACCGTTGGAACCCTGCTGTTTTTTTCGTAGGGTTTCGTGCTGGGCAGAAGGAAGACTCGTATCCCATGTTGTGGACGTCGCGCTCGGCGTCCATCAGCTCGTGAATTCTGAGGTGGGTCTCTTGGATGGCGACGGCGTCGAACCGCTTGCGCCCCCTGGCGCTGGCCAGGAACTCCTTCACTCTTGGGCCCCACTCCGTGCAATTGCCGACGAATGCTCTGCGCTCAGCATCGCCTCTGTGGTCGGCGTGGCGATGTGAGCTCCGTAGTCCCTCTGCCTGCTTGTCTGGCGAGGCTGCCTCGCCGTCGAGCTCTTGGTCTTCCTTTCTTGGCCATGGCACGCACCCCCGCCAAGAGCTCATCCCTTATATTACTGCTGTTGGCTGCAGTTTAACGAGGCGTCGTTGGCGCTCGCAGCTGAGGTGATTGTGGCGCAGGTTCCTCAGGGGGCGGGAACGTGC